CATCTTTACTTCATCCAACTAAATCTTAGATTCTATTTAACCTAGCTGTAACTACAAATCCTAGCCGCTACCTTGATAACTTTCTTATTATCTTTTGCTGCCTTTTAACCATTAGCAACTTACATTAGATAATATCTTTTATTTGTCTAATATTTTCTTTATCAAAGTATGTAAATTTTGAGTTAATATTAATAATTTGATCATTAGTTGTTGAGGTTTTAATTTATACTAGGATTTGTTAAGAGTTTGTTTAAGATTTAGAATTTGATTAGGATTTGCTTGGAATTTGATTCAAGTTTTTTGTAGGATTTAAAATTCATTATGATTTCATTAAATTTTGATCTAAGATTTAATTAATTTTTAATTAGAATTTCAATTAGGATTTAACCTAAGATTTGATTAAGATTCAATTTGGGTTTTATTTAAAGTTTTAATTAGAATTTGACCTAGGATTTGATTAAGATTAATTAGAATTTCAGTTAGGATTAAATTAGAATTTGGTTAAGATTTATTTAAAGTTTTTATTTTTAGATTTTTTAATATTTTTTTAAAATCTTTATTTTTAATATTTTTTAAATATTATTTTTATTTATTTAAAGGTTTATTTTTATATTTCTTTAAGGTTTTTTTTTATTTTTCTTTGAAATTAGTTTAGAACTTCTTTATGTTTTTTTATAATTTTTTTTATATTTATGCTGAATTAATCAAAGTTTGATTAGGATTATTAAGGTTTATTTAAAGTTTATTTGAGCTTCTATCAGACTTAGTAGGATTATTGCTACATTTCTACTTATCTTCAACAATTAGGTGCCCGGTGCATTCTCAAGCAAAAACACATATAATACGACAACATACTACATATTTTATTATGTATTTTTTGTGTATTTGATTGTAATTATTATACAAGTTTTAGCATGCTTTAAGAGACTCAAGCATATATATTGTTTATTCAATTCTAAAAGGTACAAGTTGCATATTTCAAAAGATGGTAGATATTTTATTTCTAAATAATTAGTATGATGACTAAATATGACAAGCTTTATTGTTGTCATAGCATATTGGAATACTTAAAGAAAGAGCTCATAGAAGCATGTACTTCCAACCTAATCCTTGAAACAAATAAGTTATTTTATATATAATTAAAATATTTAATATAGAGATTATATTATTTGATGTACTTATAGAAGCTTTTTGGAATGACTCAATTGCCATCAACCTTGACAAGATTCTAGCCAAAAAAGTGAAACATAAGTACCCAAAGCTTCCAACTTCCCTCCTATCTTAAAACTATTTTATTTAATAACCACATTTGGCTACTTTGCAATACATAGAACTTTCAAGCAACTCCAAGAAGTATACTATTAGATTAGAATAATAGACAACATCACTAATTTTATTTGACAATGCCTAATATGTCAAATAAAATGGAATTGTGACAAAAGTGTGAAGCCGTAACTATTAACTTCTATTTCTATCTCAAATTCCTTCACACGAGTGGCTATAGATCTTATGGATTTTCTCATAACAATTGTTGCTAGGCAAAAAATATGTCATTGTAGCTACTTGCTATTTCACCAAATAGATAGAAGTTCAAGCTTTAAAATCAAAAGATTATAAAAAATATTTTTTAATTCTTCTTTGACTTTATTATGATATAGCATAATAGCCTCGTCGAGATATTCACCAACAATGGCATTAAATTTTATAATACTTTGATAGATGTATTGACAATTTAATTGCATACAAAATACACTACAAATTTGTTATATCACCTTTAATGCAATGGATTAACAAAGAGATCCAAAAAAATATTATGTCTTTTTATTTAAAAGAATAGAAAGTATGATGATCATTGGTACACCATATTGCCAACTATTACCTTTGTTTACTGCACAAGTGTATATTTTAATATAGAATTTTTACTATTTGAAATATTCTATAACCGCAAGCCATGGCAATGCATATTATTATTGGACTTTGCATCTATTGTTGCAAAACCTATTAATTTACATACTTGATTGAATGCATTACTTTGCCATTGTAGTCATCTTTAAGCAGAAGTTTATGATTGTGAAAAATGTGATAAGTTTTGAATTAAATACACTAGACTATATAACACTCCTACTAAAAATGAAAAAAAATGGCAGTTCCACCTCTAATCCATTTGGCTTGAAATTGTACTAGCACTATTTTTTATTCATAGATTTAACCAAGTACATTACAATTTATAATTTGACCTTATCAACATCAAATTAATTGGCTGCAATGTGCAATACACATATAGTCGTTCTATGAATAATGCCTTTATCACTTACTTTTTTTAAGAAAGACGTTCTTCTATATGTATAGAAATAAAAAAAAAAAAATAGAATTAATACAAATCTTGTGCCATCCAATGAGATCACAATAGTATCTAACTTGCAAGGCTAGGAAGGATAGTTCCCTTTCATTTTTATTAATAAAAAATGCTGCTTAATACAATGGCTTAGAAAAGCATTGAGATGTATGATTATTATTTATTCTATGTATGCAAACTTCATATGGATATTTTTCATCTAAATATTTCTTTTGTGTTGTCAAAAAGTTATTATTGTATATCTTAAATTCATGTCCATATCTGATGGAAGCTTAGTCTTTTGTATGTTATCAAGTTATGCATACTCAATCTGACTTCATTAGCTCGCATAAGAATCACAATTGGCTAATCTTTCTCTCTACATGTGTAATCTATTTTGTTTATCCCAATCTTATTTATTTTTTATGCTTGCCTTGATCTTATTTGTTGTTTTTATGCTTGCATTTACTCTATTGATTGGTACAACATAGTTTTGTACTTAAGATCTAGTATTGATTGTCAAATTCATAATAGTTATTGGTTTTGTCTAAAGAAGAAGTTTGGTGAATTTAACCTTGTGAATGGAAGAAGAACAATTTATAATAAGTATTATTTGCAGTAGTCTAATTATTAAAACCATGGAAAATAAAATAAATAATTTTAAGAATCAAAATACCAAAAAAATCTAAATAAGTAATAGATAATTATAAAAAAATAAATAATTTAATAATAATATAAATAATACATCAAATATGAATAAGCTCAAAAAAATAATCATCTTAGATTAAGTACAAAAATAACTTAATATAGACATAAATGTAGTTTCTTAAAGAATTCCAATTTAATCAAGAATAATATTAATGTAAAGTGAATTGACTACCTCATTAGAAAGTAATTACTTAATCTCATACCATACAAAATATATGAGGTTGTTTCTCAACATAGCTTGAATATATAATACTAGATGATGTTTAAGAAGTTGATACGTATATTATATTATGTAATAAACAAAAATTCTTCATTTACAATAAGAAAAGAGATATACATTGTTAAGTAGAAAAAGACATATATACACAAAATAAGCAAACATTGAAACAAAGGCAAAACAATCAACAACCAAATGCAACTACTAGCGTAAAGAACATTGGTTTAATCTATGATTTATTAAAGATTTATACTAATAATTTATAATAAGTCAAAGAGGTTGCATATTAAGCTTGACAATGAATATTATTTAATGGCAAGAAATAAAGTGACAAAAGACAATACTATAAAGCACAACCCAACCTTTGGTAGTACTACAAGAGACAATCTAAGTTTAGTAGAGTTGATAGGGGCAACTTCTATCAATTGTCTTAAAATGAATTTTATATTTATATTTTCATTCATTGTTACTCCATACTAATGTAGGAAATGTTCAAGTGAAGTGATGATCTCAAACATTTTATTTTATTTTTGTATTTGCATTTTTATTATAACTATTGATAAAAGATTTAAAAATTAATGTTGGAATAGTCTTAAAATACACTAGTAGGTTGGATATCTCCAACTTGACTTCTACTATGTAGGTCTTATTGGTTCAATTTTTACGTGCATTGGATATTTCCAACCTACCTTCTATTGTCTAGACCCTGTTGGTCCAAATCACTGTGCTAGGTCAAGAATTGGGTTATATGTACATACCAATAAAACTCCAATCCTCTAATTCAAGTATTAACATGAGTAAAAAAGAAGCCAATTAGAACTTAACAAACGTTACGTCGATCAATGCTGAGTTGAAATGAAATGAAATGAAAGTTGCAGAGTACATATCTAGCATTTACATTCAGCTCGTGAGACACTTCGATAGGGAGCAGCATCCTACAACGGCCACGTTGAATCCACTGCAATCCCTGCTTTCCTAACTGCAGAATCCTGAGCTGGGATATCAGGAATGCATGTGCAGAAAGTTTGTAGAATGCCGCTGAGGTAGAGTCCTACTATAGCAGTTAAACGCAATCTCCATCAAATCATGTTCTGACAATTTAAAACAAGTGGGTACAAAGACTATCTGACGTCGTTAACAGACACAGAACCGTGAAGAAGTGCGGGCTATTCTCTTTCGCGGTGCAGGCTTTGAGATGCAACGCAGTGGGAGAAAAAGATATTCACTCTCCTTATCGATTATGGGTACAGCTCAGTTCCTTGGCGCTGATCATGCTGCAGATGAGAATCAGCGAAGTGAAAGCAAAAGTTCGAGTTCAGGAAATAAGTTGTTTGACTTGATGTAATTCATTTATGTCAGTGACTTCGCCTAGTATCACTTGATGCCAAGCACCTGAAGGAAATGAAGCTCACATAAGTTTCTCCTGATGAGTGTTGAAACCTCAACCGGCAAAGTAACAGAAGGATTGACCGAGCCAGCCTCGAGGGCTGAGCCCGTTTCCTGAACCATCCGTTATGCACGTCTTCAACCAGAGGTTCAATAAAGCGTAATAAAACCTGGGGATTACTAAGTAGGTATTTATTTTTGGCGGTGATATTGCAAAAAAGAAGAACACGTCGTTTCAAGAAGCGTAACAAACCCTGACAGCATTATTGACTTGCTCATAAGGTGCAGCCATTCCAGAGCCCTGGCAAAAGATGTCCTCGCACGAATCAATTCTGCATAGAGAAACACTTCTATCCAACAAGCGAAACTATTCTCAGTATCTGCAGGCTGCATCTTCCTCGTACTGAGCTTGACTCTCCCTCTATTATTATGGCATTCCTTAGTATCCAAAATTCTATCTTTTCTATCATACAGCTCTGCTTCGTAGCTCTCCAGCGGTGAACACTGCTCCTTTGTATTGTTGTGTGTGGCCCTTGCCTCTCGATTCTGCATTTATCACTAGGTTTGAGGCCTCATTAAATTGGATTCGAAAGCGGGGAGACTGCTGGTTGCTTGCTGATGCCTTGGTTGTAAAACTACGAACAGAGCCAATGTTATTTTCTGTAATTGTGAACATAGTTGTTCCCTTCCGTAGTTTTATCGGACTGCCTTCTCCTGTTGTCCAACTGATGTTATTTGGCAGTTTGATTTCACTTCAAACGTGTCATAAGTTATTTGTGGTTCTTCTAAAAACCAATGCAACACTACTCTTGCTCGAAACATTGTCAAGTTAGACGCAAGCAGAGGAAGCAACGACCATAATTCCTCAATACCGCTACTTTAAAACCTCTCCAAAAATGTAAGGTGTTCCTTCGTAGAAACCCAACTCAACACTCAAAAAACCAAAAAAATTATGTTTTCCGAAAAAGAAAATTGAGAGGAAAGTTGCTCTGCAAATTCTCTGAGTGTAGTGGACGAATTCTGACTCCTAAACAGCAGTTGTAATCGTAAAATCTGTTGCTCGAATATGATAAATTAGAACCGTACTGGAGTCTACATTCCCACAGGCGCTGGAACAAAATAAGTGTTAGATACACTTAAAAAGTCGGAGAGTAGAAAAGATGGTGAAAGTTGAGACAGCAGCAGCTGCACAGGCTCCGCTCACGACAGTTCCAACGCTATTTGCACTTCCTCCAGAGCGGCAGCTCTCAATCCAAAGTGCAGGAATGGAAAGGCAGCTGTCTACTACTAGTGCTACATCAGCCAAGTGTTTCCCAGTGGAGTGCATGATCGAAAGTAGCTACTTCACCACCCCAGTTGTGTCCCCCCCCAACATCTCTCTCACACGCAAGGTTCGTTTCCAACGCATTTCGGTATACCATCACAATACTCTTCAAGATGCTGGCAAATCGATAATCACGTCTTTTGGTACCGGATAGATGAGATGATGAAAGTCTACTGATCTGAATTACCCGGATGTTGGTGGTACTAAAAACCAGTTTGCGACGGAGCTGATAGGGACATTCGTGCTGATATTCGCTGCCACTGCCACGCCGATTGTGAACGAGAAGACAAAGGGATCAGTCACTCTGCTTGGCAACGCTGCCACAGCTGGGTTAGCCATCATGATTGTCATCTTTGCAACAGGCCACATCTCAGGTGCCCATGTCAATCCGGCCATAACCATTGCCTTCGCTTCTCTTCGCCACTTCCCTTGGGTCCAGGTGCGTTTGAAAACTCAAAGTGATCGCAACAATAGTTCATACGTAGGGAAAGTGTTTGCTGCCTTTCTCAAGCACGGAGAAGTTTGTCCTTTATCACTTTTCCTCTGCAGTTGATCGGCGGTTAACATGCACTGGTCGTAATTGGGTGCAGGTCCCATTTTACATTGCGGCTCAAGTGCTGGGTTCAATTGCAGCATCATTCACTCTCAAGGGCATCTTTCACCCCTATATGCACGGCGGTGTAACATTGCCGCAAGGAGCTTACTGGCCTTCGTTTCTGCTGGAATTCATCATCTCGTTCAACCTCATGTTTGTGATAACAGCAGTTGCGACAGATACTCGTGCAGTAAGCTGTGACTGACATCTTTCCTCGAATTGACTTGCTATTAGATCTAAATGTCTTCTACATCTCAATGTGTTCATGCATTCGTGGCTTGTGCGTCTCCCTTTGACACGAACAATAAATCTTGCAGCTTCTTCCGAATAAATCTTATAAGACACACATTCGTAAACAATAATTTCATTTCTTCAGTATTTTACCTGTCATCTCTAATTAAAAATGATCGCGTACATTTTGAGGCAAGTGGTTGGAACCTGCAAAATTTCTAGGAGCACGAAGAATACGCATTTGTATCTACATGTTCGAAACCTGATGAAGGACAGGAAAGCTTTCTAATGCAGTTTTGAGAGGAAATAAGTGCAATCCAAAGTCCTCAACATTCTAGGGTTGTACGAAGTAACCATGTTTAGAATCCTAGCGATATGAGAAAGTGTCTTGTACAGGTAGGGGAGCTCGCGGGCATTGCTGTTGGCGCGTGTGTGATGATGAATATCATGATTGCTGGGTAATTTTCTACTCTAACTTCGAGATTAACCATCCGATTTGAGTTGGTATCCCGCCCACTGCATCACCTAATTCAGACTTGAGCTTGCACAGTTCAACATCAGGAGCATCAATGAACCCAGTGCGCACCCTCGGTCCAGCAATCGCTGTCAACAACTACAAGGGCATCTGGTTGTACATGCTGGGACCAGTGCTGGGCATGCTCGCTGGAGCCACCGCTTACACTGCTGTCCGCTTGAAAGAGGAAGACCCTCCCCGCCTCCCAGTTCGCGTCTTCCATCGTTGAAATGTTTCAGCAATTCTGGGAATAGGTACACTACTAATTGCATATAACCAAATACATATAATAATGCTGTCAATTTAGATCGCGGCGCTTCTCAATCCTCTGATTTCTCATGTCACGGACATGCTTTCTCCCTCCCTCTCTGGTCTAAGTCTACTCTGTTGACCTCTTCACTATGCCTCTCTTCCTCGTCCAAATTGTGATCAATTTGTTGGATTTCTTCACCCCTTGTGTCGTCTCATCTTCTGAGATTCCAACTCTTCACACCCTTTCGTATTGAATTGTCTTCATATCCCAATCGATCTGTACTGCCGAGCTTCCCCTGGTTCACTTCTACACTCCATTATCTTAACTCCGAATCAACTTCCTCTCCTTCCTGTTCCCTCTGACCAGTCGAATTGTACACATCCGTCCAAGAGAGTTGAGACCTCCGTATCCACAGATCTCAAGAAGGTCGACAACAGCAGCCATTTCGACGTAGTATTCGAATGTTTTCGTCTCTATGTTATGTGATGCACTTTAATTAACAGACACTGCCCAGTGTTTCTCCTGCATGTCTTACCAACTTATCAAGGTCAGGTCCATTTTATGTGGAGCCTAAAAATCTTGATTCATGGTGGCCTCGTACTTGTGCGGTGAACACGTCGTCACAGTATTCCTGCATAAATATATATACTATATTTGATCATTAGTCAATGTGTTCATGCTACCTGCTCCTCATATGATGCATGAATTGATTTGTTGCACTTGAAATGGGCTCAAACAGGCATACAAACTCCACAATAAAGGCGAACAGATTCGTGATGTTGTTGGATGCGTAGCTAGCGTGTTAATTACACTCATGACTTCGCTCTGGGGCTTGAATTTTGAAACAAGAGAATCTAGTATCTTTTTGACTGGTCTATGGGTGTCGTGACAATGAGCATCCCAGAACATAAACGTGTATAGCAAGCAATCGCCGCCGGTTGCAGGATCCAAGTCGATGCGGCTTAGCCAATGAGTCACGCACATCGTCGGACACGAATTCAAGCACCGCTGATTTCCTAGCTTTCCTATATCAGCGATTATGAGGATTTGCACTGGTAGTGGCCCATCACTGCAACAACTCGGCCGGCTAAAATTGGCAATTCCATCCATGTCGAGAAATTCAGCACGACTTGAGTGATTCATCACACCAGTGTCTCGCCTGCACAGATTTGCTCCTCGTCAGCCAGCCGCTTTCATGAGCTTCGATGAGTGAAATCACGAGGAGAAAATATCTAAGACTCGGTTAACACGTCAGAAAACTTTAGTTTGCTCATGAACAACTAATGGATCTATTTTGGCGTCCTCTAGTTTAGCCATAGTTGAAATAATCAGAAACTTAGGACATGACCACAATCTCGAGTTGGGATTTCCGATTTGAAATTAAAACTTCAAGAAACAACGCAACCAAGGTTTCCAATCATAAATGAAAATGGTAAAGGCCTACAAACAATAAATAAGTGTATATATATAGTAAAGTTAGTGCAAGTAGTGACCAGCTTCGTATGGCAAAAAGAAGGGATCTCGGCTACTGGTGCTTGATTTTGCCTTTTTAGCTGCCGGATCCACGAAACCCTAGTGCATCCTCTTCATACCTTTTGTTTTTTACTTGCGATTCGGTGCAAATTTAGCGGGTTAGACAAGTGTGTAGAGACCGATTAGACCTATGAGTTTCCATGAGATTCTTCCCATGTACCTGGTGCGCCAGATCAATCCTCACCCCACGCTCGTTGCTGCCCATCGCCCTATTTCCAAATGTCGGCACAACACCTAGGAGGGTACCTTCCCAGACATCACCTCACAAATCCATCCACTAGGCCTTCGTGTCCAGTTCCAAAACCGTTTATCTCCGGTGAACACAATTGGGGATAATCACGCGTTGAAGAGCATTTTTAACAAAGCTGGAAGTAAATTGGAAAGCGCACAGGTCTTCGTTTAGTCGTTACGAGGACGGAAACAGTGCAGGGAACTTCGTGTCGCACTTGGTCCAGGTTGAGAAAAGTCTGCGGCATGTGGGCATTAGTACAACTGTATGTAAACACATATTTGTGAATATTATTATAATACTGGGGAGTAGTAGTGAGAGCGTGAGATTCTGGCTTGAGATGCATGTCTGGGCTGATTCAAGGGCGGTGGGGGGTGATGGACAGAGCAGTGGGAGTGTAACAGCTTTGGGAGATATCTGTTGCTGAGAAGGCTGCTGTGTTGACCCTTCTTGTGATGAGCCTTCTCTTCCGGTGCTTGGCTGAGGCGGCCGTACTCCAATTTTGGAACAGAACAGGAGAGAGTCGTAGAGACGAGAAGAGTTGGAGTTGAGGTGGTTGCGTGAAGGGGAAGAGCAAGGGAAAGGGCGGGGTGTTGGTTGCGGAGTCTGGGCGAGGTCGGTGTTGGTCTCGGTGCTGGGCAATTGACGCGTGAAGGGGGAGGCAGGTTTTATCGGTAGAAAGACAGGCAGGCAGGCCAGGGGAAGGGTAAGGGCAAGGGCAGGGGAAGCAGGCATATAGGTAAGCATAATTGGTGGTAGTTTGTGGGCAGTTTGATATTGTGGAGCGGGAGATGAAGTGCTAATCCTTGTGGAAGGAAAGTTTGGGAAAAAGCACACGCTAAGTGGGAAGCCAAGTCGGTACGTTGTAACGTGATGACGACGATGCTTTCGTTATACTACTGATGATGATTACGGTGATGATCGTGTGATTTTTCTTGCTGTTATGGTGGTGGCGATTATGGTTTTGAGATATTTCCTTTGCGGTTTACGGGCTACGGCGTGGGCTTGAGAGTGGAGAAGAGGGTAACAGAGAAAGAAAGCAGAGGAGAAAGCCAAGTAGAGAGGAGAGGCGAGGGAAATAGGTCTGTTCTCTGTGCTCGAGAAGAGAGAGATTTGGGTGCGTGCGAGTGCAAGTAGGTGGTAATCGAGAGTATCCAGAAGGAATAGGGGGAGTTGTGGTGGTTGTGATGTCTTTGATGATATGATGTTGGCAACGGATGAGTGTTTGACTCGATCGTGCGGCATCCAGGTTCTCTTTGGGAGTTGGGTTTCCTGTTGAGAGTTGCATGGGTTGCGCTTTACTCGGTCTTCTTTCATGCCTTTGATCGACTCATGGAGGAACATTCCGTTGCGCATCTCTGGCGGTGTTTGCGTGATCGTAAGTCAGAAGAAACTGGATGAGTCGTCTAGGTTGTAGATCGATGCTTGTTAGGGTAGGGGCTGTTTTGTGAAGGACGACTGTTGTACATCATCGCAATTGTGCTACCTATGCTGGCATTGATTTTGATTTTAGGATAAAATTGCTGGTAGTCCTGACGGATGTGATATTTTGTCCTGTTGCCTATGTGTTGTTTCATGGCTTATGGTTTCGTGAATTATATGTTTGCAGGCGCAATGGAGAAGGAAACCAAAGAATGGGGTAACAAGGAGCAACGCACGATGTTAAACACGTTGAAGACTATGTTTCCTCAGGTAACAAATTAGCTTTCTTTGAATGACTTTTTGTGGAAAGTCTTCTGACCTAGGGTTTCAAGCCTCCTCCGTTGCGCGTACAATTCCTCAGGTTGTATATAAGTGAAAGTTTATGTGGGAACTTCATCTAATCGGATCCATAATTCATAACGGTTTTTCAATTTTTATAAACTAGTTAACACTTTAGGAACTGAAGTAGATGGAACTACTTGTAAAGCTAAGCCCAATACTGTTCTGCTGGAATCTTTGCGAGTTATTTACATAAAATTGCAATTGGATGTACTTATGTGCAGGTGGATGTACGGATCTTAAAGGGGACGGTGCTTGAAGGTAACGATATAGATGCTGCTGTTGAGTTCATCCTCACTGAAGTACTTGAGCAGCCCTCTACGGGAAAGGTGGACGAGCGCCTTGCGAAAGAACTCATATCCAAATCTCTTAAGGCACCTGGGGGTGCAAGTGACAAACGTTTTACCGAAGTGAAGAGTGCTAAGAATCACCATATCAAGGATCAGAATCCGTTTGATATCATGGGCGATATGTTTAATGTAACTGGATCTTCCGTTCAAGATGGAAACACCATTGTTTGTCAAGAACCTTTGATTGATTTGCAGTCTGAAAAAACAGTTGAAGATTCGAAATTGCCTGCTTTGGGATCATCACCCATTGATATTCCATCTGGAACTGCCAGGATGACCGGGGTAGAATCTGTAACCTACGATGAAGTGCTCCAGTCACCTTGTAAGAATTTTTTATACCTTCAGAGACTCTCGAGTTCAAGTGATGGTTTTTTCATTTTGCGAGTTGTAGTATTTGACAGGTTCTGGAAATTGTTATGAAATTACCTTAACTAATTTGGCTAGCATTCTCTCTAGCAGATATTGTGATGTCGGAATCATTGACCGAAAGTGAACCAGACACTTTGGCTCGTCCTCAAGATCGTGGTCGAACTTGGATGAATGCTGGAATGGCGATTTCCGAACCGCTGTATACACCAACTGCCGAGAAGCAACCTGTTCCACCAATGTCTAAAGTGCAAGTTAAGGACGAGCCAGCACACGTGGCTGAATCTCTCTACGGGAGCGTCCTGGACGGTATCGAAGTCGATTATACAGGCGCTGATGCTGGGGCTAGGAAATCGACATATTCATGGAGTGACGATGAAGGATCATCCCAGAAGCATACTTGCAGCAAAGGTAGTAGATGGGCATATGAAAGTGACGATGATTATTCAGATATGCAGGAATCAAAGAGTTCATTGTTGGCTGTGCCAAGTGGACAGTTTGACGGAATGTCAAAATTATCAGATGAAGGCAGCAGGTTGATGGAATCTTCAATGATGGAAGAGACTTATGATGGATTGTTCACCAGCAGTGCCAACAGCGTGATGACTGGGTCTTCACAGTTGCTTGGTGTGGACGCACTTGACGAATTAGTGAATGGCGCGAAGGCCGACAAGGTTTGATCCTATACAATGCTGTCTTCATGAGTCAACTCATAGGCGGAGATTTCATTGTTTATATTCAACTTGTTGTCAGGTTCAATATGATCGTGCTAACATTTCGTGCGGTCCTTTAAAACTCTTAATGGAATTTGCAGAATTATGCTGCTTGATGAGTTCTATTTAGATTACTTGGCTCTACGACAAATATATAATTATAGTTGTGCCCTAATTTATGAGCCGTAGCAGATGATATTAAGAAAGGTGTTGAAATGTTGGGGTTACATCTTTCACAGCATTCCTGAGATTTGTGGTACTATTATGAAACCGCAGCAAAATTATATGTTTCGTGTTTGTCTAAGATGTTGAATATGCAGTAATGCTGTGCATTGCTATTGTGTTGGTCCAGGAAGCACTTGTAGCAGCGATCGAAGATATGCGAGCAATGCGCTCTGCAGTTGAACACGCTGAAGCATCCGCACAGCAAGCAAAGAAGGATGCTATGAATGGCGGATTGGATCTGCTCGCTAAAGTTGAAGAGATGCAAGTTATGCTCGTTCGAGCTCGAGAAGCTAATGAGATGGTGCGTCTTTTGTGTTGCTTTTGCTAGCATTGAATTTTATATATAATTAGCAGCAATCTAGTTTTCTGAGGGTAGAGAAGTGGGCGTGATTTAGATTTTTTTGTTGTACCATCAGAAGCTCATTATATGATATTATCATATGCTATTTGTTTTATATACTATATTCAATGATACATATTGTGCTCGCTATATTGGGCTGAGATATGGCACAGAGAACAGACATCCTTACTAAGATCGTTTCCTCGACTGTCAGGGCTCCCATGACGTTTCACTGATTGTTTGATTGACATGTGTAGCATGCTGGTGAAGTTTACGGAGAAAAGGCTGTTCTTGGAACCGAATCTCAAGAGCTGCAGCGTCGACTTGCACAACTGAAAGAAGAGAAGGAGAGAGCCTTCGCGGCTGTTGAAGAGGTATGTTACATCCGATCCGGAATCATATGCACATTATTAGTCTTCGTAGCTTTTAGCCTGTGCGTTGTGACACCTAAAGCGCGACTGACTTTTTTCACTTCGACTTAACTACATTGTAGCATTGAAAAGCAATTCAATACGTAGTTGCCTCATTGAGTATTGTGCCTCCTATGCTGACATTATGTTTAGCGACTTGCCTTTTGTACAATTATCAGCGAGTTGTTAGAGTCGTTTGGAAACTATGTGGTCCTGTAGGCAAGCACATGAAGATTTTGTCTGTTTGTTTTGTGTGACTTGATATTGGGATATAGATGCGGGCAACTCTGCAAGCACGCATTGACCGTGCAAATGAGGAAAGGGAGGCAGCTGAGAAAGAGAAGCGTCTGAAAGAGGAAAGAGCTCTTGCCATGCTTGCTGTGGAGGAAGAGCTGATGGCTAAGATTGCTCAAGAGTCGCGGGATCTTGATGCTGAAGAAGAAACATGTACTAAGGTATAAGATTGTCGTTCTTCGTGGTTGAATATGAACAAAGTTTCTATTTGTTTTTTCTTTTCTTTTCTGTTTTATTCACGTCCATAGATTTTATTCACTAACATATGTACGCTGTTGCTGCAGTTGCGGGACTTCCTCGTCGACCGTGGCAGCATTGTGGACTCTTTGCAGTATGTTGATCTGAACTTGGTTTCTTTCCTGGGAATGTTTTGTATTTTTAGAAATGATTGTTGGATGCACATTTCATGATTAATTTTTGGAGGTTATCCGTAATTCTCATTAGACATGCTTAATTGGTTCCTTTCGTTTTGTATATAAGGGAGATTATCGTGTTGATTGTGAACAAATCATGATATTGCTGAAGTATCCAAGTTAGCAAGAAGACTGTATTTCATGAACTAATGCTCTCCAAACACACTTCCTGACTCGTATGGCGGATTATCAAAATGCAGGGGCGAAGTGGCAATTATATGTGAAGACGTGGAAGCTGTAAAGAAGCAACTGGATGAAGGTATTCTGTTTGGAGAAAGTGGCTTCCTCCACATGCTTGGCTCTCGGTCTCTTGGCTACTCCGTAGTTTCTGGCAAGGATGGCAATTTTAAAGCAGGTGACGCCAGTGATAATCATTTCGGTGCTCTTAGCCAGTCCGGTAGCAGCTATCAAAGCGCTATTAGAGCTGGAGAAAGTGATGCTACAATTGAGGAACTATCCACCTCAGAACTTGTCGACCAAGTCTCCAGGATTGCGCTCACCTACGGTGAAAGGGATGTTGAAGAGTTTCAAAAGACTGTATCCGCTCAGTCCAACACTGATTCAGGTGACGATGAAGGCTGGAATCTCATAGAAACGTCATCTGTCAAGAGCAACAAAAGCCCTGGCTCTTCTCCAAGTTCAGTGAAACGGAGCAGAACTGAAGCTTTTTGCAGTTTAAACTTGCGGGTCTGAATGCCATGATGTGCCCTTCAGCGATCAAAGAGAGTTATTTAGCTCTGGTTTTCTTCTTCTCATTTCTTTTCGAAGTTTTCTGTAGATATTCTCGTTACAGTTCAGTGGCAGAAATAGTTGCTTCCAATACAGGATTCCGGCATGCTATCGATACGTACATTGGTTTTGCAACTGCATGTTGGTGCAGCCTAATTGTGAACCCATTATTTATGCACTTTGTTAATATTTTATGTTCTTCATTGTAGAATTACAATTCGATATATTTTTACTGGTTTATGATTTATAGAGATTTTGTGAGCAGCAGTTTCTGCTAAATTTTTTAATTTACAGAGATAGATTCAGGCAACCAAAAACTGGTGTCCGATTATTTTATATATTGGTACATATTTCAAGGATATCAAGGGTTCGTGTTTGCGAGGTTTTTCTTAACTGTATTGTGGTTATTCCTATCCGATTTTTTTTTGACCCTACTCAAGTTGGCTTTGGATACTCTGATACTCAGATTTCGTTCTCCGTTGGCAGCAGGATCATTATAACATATAGTTTTAAACTTAATATAACCATGGTGTTATTATTCCATACATCTAATCTGGTTCTTTTCCTAAATATTGTGATGTTTTTCATTGCTATTTAAAAGATAATTCTAACTTAGGATTGTACAGTTTAGGATGTTTTTTATGAGCCATTGTTATTACCTCAACATATAATTTTTGTGAAGTCCAATTCAAATTACAATATTGCATTTCAAAAGTTTATAATTTCATAAATTATTTTTCAAAAGTTTTTTCTTTACACTCTTTCAGTTCAAATTAATTTTTAAAAAAATTCTTGCTTATTCACAAACGTCTAAAAAATTCCCAACATTGACTTGATTCGCTCAAATTAATTAAATCATATTTTTGTGTAATGCTGAAACTTCAATACCAATTACTTATCAGAATGTAAAATCAACCTCAATTTAGTATACAATGCTATACATTGATCTTCATTGTTAAGAATGATTAACATGATAAATTTTGTATAATGAAAATTTATTATTTCTAATATGTGTACAAAATATGAATCTCATGATTTATAATTTAATAGACATAGGGTGATTTATGTCCCCCATCCCCCATTCCCTACAAACATCCCTTCTTCCCTACCCATCATTCCTTGTTCCCTATCTCCAAAAGTAATCATCACATGGTTTGGAGGGTGTGACTTTAACAACATTGGGGTGTGGCTTTAACAACCCCCTATATATATATATATATATATATATTTAAATAAACATACATGAATGTGTTTAATATATATATATATATATATATATATATGTATTTTAGAATAAATTCTTCATGTTTTTTATATTAAATTCATTACATATTTTACAATATACATACCATTAAAAGTTTGTTGTGATTGCCCATGGTTCAAAATAATGCAATGAATTAAATTAAAATACAATAATTTTATTGAGAAAATACATGTTACTCACTTTGACACATATTGTGTTTCAAGATATGGTTCAATTACTGGTAACAAATCTATTAAGAAATAGTATCTGACGTAATCTGTAGTAACTGAAGAATGTCCAAAATAGAAAAACCAGTCTAAACCAGTCTAAACCAGTCTAAACAAACTTAGGAGGGCAAGCAAACTGGAAGAAAATGAAAAAAAAAAGAAAAAAGAAAAAAGAAAAAAAGAAAAGTGAAAGCAAACGTGAGGCAGATGATGCAAAGCGCGGAATGCCACATCCGATGATGCTACAAAAAAAAAAAAAAAAAAAAAAGGGAAAAGAAACACGGAACGAAGGATTATTCATCACATACAACGCTCATCTCAGGAGACAATAACACGTTAATTCCAACAAAGCTGGTCTCCAGTTTGTTGTGCAACAAAAGGAGGCATTTATAGCATCCCTTATCAGAAAACCCACACAACGGTGGAGATACCCACCTCCGAGTTCATCCATCTCATTCATTTTCATGCTTTGTTCATTCATCATATTAATCTCATCCATCGTTCAAGTGACGAAGTTAGCACGACTCAACGAAATCGCAGGGCGTGACGAGACTCAGAATCAGAACGCAGTGCGTTGCATGCAACTGGGGCTTCAGAGCTTGAGAGCGAGGGAGGGGAACAAAAATAACAAAAGGAACAAAAGGAAGAAGAGAGAAGCGGGGAAGGGGGGGGGGGGTGAAAAAAGCCCAGTTCCCTTTCCAACCGCTCACAGCCTTCGAACCCTAATTGCCTCGTTCCAAACCGAAACCATCGCTCCCTCCCACGAAGGGAAAAGGCTACGGGGGGAAGCGCATGTCTAACCACGCTGCTATCACGTTAGGGCGTCTCTTCTAGCAACTCACTCTGTGGACACACGGCCATGCCTTCCCGCTAGCCTCCTCCCTGCCCACTGCGACGGACAGGGGTTGCCGGATCATCACCTCCACAGCGGCGCCGCTTTCTTCAATCGAAGCTGTGCTTTGATTGATTAATTGGCTGGCCCCATTGATGCGAAGGGTTTTGCACCTCAGTCAGTCATGGCATGGTGTTAGAGGGTGTGGGAACTTGTTACTTCGTACGTGGAATCCGGCAGAGAGGGAGGGCAAAAGATGGAAAACGGGCTCCAGGAGTTCGCGGAACAGATGTTGGCCACGGCGGTGGTCGGGAAGGACCAGGACGTTGTGAAGGTGTTGACGAGCGTGGAGGTCGGCGATGACCTGAAAGATACGACGATGACGGAGGTGGTGGAGGAAAAAGTCGGAGGGGGGGGCGGTGCAGAAGGGGGAGAGGGGGAAGAAGAAGAGGATGTGTACTCCATGGAGGTGAGTGACGAATTGGAGAAGAGAAATGAGGTTGTTGCGAAGGAGGCGGAGTCGACGGCTGTGGCCGTGGCTCCCCCCGAGCTAGACAAGAATGATGACTTTCCGAAGGAGGAAGATGTGACGATGAGCACGATAAACGACGAGCCGACGAGTGAATCGGGGGCCGCGACCGAGAGAGGTCCGGCAGAGATCCCATTTGCCGAGCCGGCAGCCGGCGCGGCAGCAGCAGCAGCATCCGAAAAAGAGGATGTGACGGATCTCAACGAAACACCGAAGCTCGAGCTAGAAAATGAAAGCGAAGAGATGAGAGTGAATGAGGCAAGCCCGACGCCCCCGACGCACGACCTTGTGGAAGCAGCCGAAGAGCTGGAAGTGCCACAAGAATCTCCGGCGAAATCAGAAGCCGTGAAAGACGAGGTGGTCGAAAGAGTGATAAGGCCAGCCTTGGATGTGAATGAGCCGGCGGAGGCATTGAAAACGGTGGAAGGGGTGCATTCCGACGTCGCGCCCTTCCGCAACGTGAGAGCGGAAGAAGCAAAGGCGCTGCATGATGCGGAGACCAAAATGGTGAGCGCCGCGGCATGCGTGGCGAACGAAGCAATGGAAAGCGCGCACGAGGATGTGCGTGCCGCGGCGCAGGGAGAAGAGGAGGTTGCGCAAGTGAAACTCGAGCCCAAAGATGAGGGGCAGTCTTCCGGACAGGTCGATGATATTCGCTCGAGCCAAAGTCAGCCGAACGGCGGCGCGGACATGGCCGTGGATGCGAAGGAAGGCGACGCAGGCGTGGTGCCGAAGGCGGAGAAGACGGAGTTGGAGCGGGAGATGGAATTGTACGAGGCGTCGGAAAGAGAGGAGCAGGTGTGGTTGCTGGCGCCGACGAGAGTGGAGCAGCAATGCGAGGAGCCAAGCAAGGATGTGCAGAACGACAGGAAACGTGCCCTGGACATGCCGACGCAGGAGCGGCAGAGGAAGCAGAGCAGGAGAACGCACGCGGCAGAGGAGCGGAAGAAGGACGAGGAGGACGTGTGCTTCATCTGCTTCGACGGCGGGGACCTGGTGATGTGCGATCGCAGGTATGGTGGTGTTGGGAGCGGACGAGGTTTTGTGAGAGATTTGGTGCACGTCGGCGTGCAAATGCGTGGGGCATGAGGACAGTGACGGCAAACGTGGGATTTTTGAGGGGATATGGGTCCGGGCGGGAGGTCACGTGGTTTGACGATGTGCTGGGGACGGTGATGCAGGTCTTGTCCGAAGGCGTATCACCTGAGCTGCATTGGGCGCGACGCCGCCTTTTTCAAGAAGAAGGGGGCATGGTTGTGCGGTGCGCGTTCACTCGCCCAGCACGTGGTTGTGACGGCGTTGCAGTTAGTGTTGTGGTCGTGTGGTGGGAGTCGTGATTGAATGGAATGACGAGAGTGGTGTGTGAGTGTTGTGGTGGCACGTCCGGCAGCCGGGACGGCGTGGGTTGCGATGGGGACGTCGCAGTGGTTGCATGTGGATGATGTGGAGTGCGGGTGGTTTGGTGCAGGATGGCACTTCTGCTCCGTGTGCACGAAGCCCGGAAGCTTTCAGTGTTACACATGCCCGACAGCTTATTGCGGGAGCTGCATCCAGGAAGCGGAGTTTCTGATGCTGAGGAAGCGGAAAGGATTGTGCGAGGATTGTTTGCCGATAGTGAGCATGATCGAGCGGAACGAGACCACGAATGCGGACGGGGTAAGGGGCTGGATCCGTGTGTTCGAATTTGGGGGCAATTTGGGGGCAATGCCGGATAGGCGGCAGCAGTGTGGGTGTGTGCACCGGGCGAGGTGCGGAGTTTTGGAGCGGGGAGTGGAGGTGATGGAATGATTGTGGTGAGGTGATGGGGGGACGATGGGCTGACGTGTGGGTGGTGTGGATGTAGGTGGAGGTGGACTTCGAGGATCAGGACACGTACGAGTGCTTGTTCAAGGAGTACTGGGAGGATCTGAAGAGGAGGCTGTCGTTGATCATGCCGGAGTTGGACAAGGATGGGAAACCGGTGGGCGGGATGGGGAGCATGCTGAACAGCGGGGGGTCGGAAACGGAGGATCACTCGGAGAACGAGGAGTCGGACAGGGAGTCGGACGAGTCGGAGCAGGAACATCCGGAACCCGTGGAGGCGGCGAGGAAGGGGAGGGGGAAAGGGAAGAAGGATAGGATGGGGTCGGAGAAGATGGAGGAGGACGTGGACCAGGAGGAGGGGGAGGAGGAGGGGGAGGGGGAGGGGGAGGAAGAGGAGGTGCAGGAGCAGCAGGAAGATCGGGGGGACAAATTCGAGAGCTGGGCGTCGCAGGAGCTGCTGGGCTTCATCGAACACATGAAAGAGGACCCAACGAAGCCGCTGTCACGGTTTGCGGTGAACAAGTTGCTATGGAGCTACATCAAGCGTCACAGGTTGCAGGACGCGCGGAAGAGCAGCCAGATAAACTGCGACGAGAGGTTGAGGACCATATTTGGGAAGGAGACGGTGGGGCAGTTCGAGATGTTCAAGCATCTGCAGGCACACTTTCCGTCACGGAGCTCGGTGGATAGCAAGAAGAGCAAGGATTCTGGGAAGGGGGACGAGGCGGCGACGGAGGATGAGGCGTTGAAAAACGGCGAGGACGTGGTAGGGAGCGCGAAGGAGAGGCGAAGAGGTCGCAGGGCGGCGGACGAGAAGTTCGAGCGGCCGAGCAGCAGCGAGTACGCGGCGATCACGCCGAAGAACATCAGCCTGATATACCTGCGGAGAGCGCTGCTGAGAGATCTGTTGGACGACCCGGAGTTCGACAACAAAGTGGTGGACACATTCGTGAGGATACGGGTTCCTGGAATATCGACGAAGACGGAGACGACGTACAGACTGGTGCTGGTGACAGGTGGGAGTGTAGCGAGGGGGGCGGGGTCCGGGGACGTTTGAGAGTAGTGGGATGGGAGGTGCAGTTAGCGGGGGCCAGGATGGTGGGGGTGGGGGGCCGGAAGTAGGCGATTGGTGGAGTGGATGGGTAGCGCTAGGTGGACTTTGAGGTGCAGCAGGTTGACGATGGATTTTGTGGGTGTCAGGGACAAGAATCGGCGAAGAGAGCTACAAAGCAGGGACGAAGACGACGAACATCGTGCTGGAGATTCTGAATCTGCAAAAGAAGGAGGACGTGACGGTGGATCTGGTGTCGAACCAAGACTTCACAGAGGTAGGTACTGCAGGATAGGTTCCGGGGAGGTTTGGAGGCGTGGAGGAGAGGGGTAGTTTGTGGGATGTGAGTGTGGGATGACGGTGTGAAGGGGCGTCGTGGTTGACGTGGTGGATGATGCGAAGGCAGGGGCGTGCGCGTAGGTAGGTGTTAGTGAGCATGGATGTGGGGAGGAGCATGGCGTTGACAATGTAGTGGTTGGGTTTGCAGGAGGAATGCCAGCGGCTGCGGCAAAGCATCAAATGTGGGTTCATCAAGGCACTGACAGTGGTAATGGTCGGAGCGAAGCACAATGGTATGCAGCTGTGGCGGACTTGGTAGTGGCGCGAGGTGGCAGCTAACGTTTGTGGACAACGTGGTTGTTGTGCAGGGTGAAGTGGAGGAGAAAGCGTTAGCGTTGCAGGAGGCGAGGGTGAACGATGTGAGTAGCAGGGCACTTTGGTTGGGGTGAAGTGGAGTGGGTGAAGTTTGTGGTGTGGAATGGAGTGGATTTTGGAGTTGGTATGGGTGTCGGTAGGAGGATGGGGAGGAAGTGTGGGAATCGGGTGCCTTGCTGTTGATGCACGTCATGGGAGGAAGTGGAGTGGAGTGGAGTGGAGTGGAGGGTGCGGGGGCAGCGTTTGGGGGTGGACAGGGCTGTCGGTTATGCGTGCGGTGCATGGGTGAGGGAGTGGAGTGGAGTGGAGTAGGTGGTCATGTTTGAGTAAGTGTGGGGCGGAGCCATTGCATGTGAGTGAATGTGGCAGTGTGTGGAGTGCAGTGGTTCGAGAACGAAAGGCAGCGTCTGATCAACCTGCGGGATCGTGCGAGCGAGCAGGGACGGAAGAAAGAATATCCTACTTGTTGTGATATATTGCATGGAATGTGTGTGGACGAGGCACGGTGGAGCGTGTGGTGGGGTGGTGCAGGAATGGGGTGGGTGTTTTGGGAGGGATGTGGTTTGTATGGTGTGATAGGGGCTAGGTGCATGGGGGCAGGGATGTTGAGTGTAGAGGGTTGTGGGGATGTGGAGGAGCGTGCGTAGGAAGAGAGGAGGGAATAATGGCGTGGATAAGGTGGAAGAGGTAGAGATTGTGTGCGTGCATGCGTGGTTGCAAATGTGAAGTGTGGGTGTAGCGTGGCGTTGTGGACCGCGTTGCCTTAACCTGATGGGGGTCACGTTGCGGGAGTGCGTGGAGAAACTTCAAGAGATGAGCAGTCCTGCGTTTCGTGCAGCCAAGCTTCAGGCAAGACCCGAGGTGTCGGTGGACCCGCACATGGAACCGGGGTACGAATCGGACGTGAACGAGATGTCACCGCTGCAAGGTAATCCCGATCGTGGTGGGCTGTGGCATGTGAGGGAGCAGTGGAGTGGGGGTGTGAGTAGGCGTGGGGTGTGGGGTGGGTGTGGGAGGAGAGGAGTCGGGGGGATTGATGGTGATGGGCGTGTGATTGCTTGCAGTGGGTGGGCGGATGTTTCGGGCGAAGGGCGCAGCGAGCAGTCGATGGGAGAAAGGCGGTGGGAGCGGCGGCGGCGGCGGGGGGTGGGACGGTTTGAACGTGGAGGAGTCGTCGTTTTACCCCGGCAGGAAAGGCGATGCGGATGGTCAGAGATCGAAGTCGAGCTGGGAGGAGACGAGCCGGAGCAGAGGTTACGGTCGCGGTGGGTACGATGCAGGGCGCAGCGGCGAGAAGGTAGGAGCAGGTCGCGAATCGAGTTACGGTGTGGAGGCGAAGACGTACGGGAGCGACGAAAGGGATAGGCGGGTATGGGACAAGGATTGGGATAGGGAGCAAACGCGAGAGCAGGAGCGCGGTCGCGGGGATGCGTACAACTGGAGCAGCAGCGGCGGACGGAACGGGTTGGACGCGTGGGGCGGGGAGGTCGGGGAGGCGAAGTACGGGCGAGGAGAGACGAGAACCGGGACGACACCGGTGTTCGGGCAGCCTCGGACGGAGTGGGGGAGCACGAGAAGAGAGGCTGCATCGACGGCGAGTGTGTCGAGCACGCCGGTAGGTTTCGGTCCAGCGACGCCGAGCATACAAAACCTGGCTGCGTTGGAGAAGGAGAAGCTGTGGCACTACCAGGATCCGACGGGAACAGTGCAGGGGCCGTTCACGATGGAGCAACTGAGGAAATGGAACACGACAGGGCTATTCCCGGTGACGCTGACAATCTGGAAGACGGGTCAGTCGCAAGCGGAGTCGATGCTGCTGACGGACGCGTTGGCGGGGCGGTGGAAGGAGGAGATTTGGGGAGGTGGGGCGGGGGGCGCGGGTCGGAGCAGGTCGAGGGAATTGGTAGGAGGCGGGTCTCCAACGCCCCGGGCGAACTCAGCGTGGAGCGTGATGGAAGGGGGACTGGGTGCGAGTCGAGGCGAGGTGGGTGCAGCGGTGAGCAGCACGGAGTGGGAGTCCCGAGATGCAGCAGAGCGAGGTGGGAGCTGGGCGAGAGTTGCAAGCAGTTTCGGGGGCGTGTCTTCGGGGAGCGGACGAGCAGTGGAGGAGTGGAGCGGCGCCAGGGCCCGGGCGGAGCCGGAAAGTTGGGGCGGGTCGTCTCGGAAAGGCGACGGCAGTAGTTGGGGAGGGAGCGAGAGCGGGAAGAGCACGTACGGTCGGAGCAACTCGAGTCGCGAGTACGAAGGGGCAGCGGGTCGAGAAGGGTCTCGAAGTAGTCGGGGACCTCGAGGATCAAAGAAGGACGTGCCGTGCAGGTTCTACGCGAAGGGTTATTGCAAGAGAGGAGACGCTTGTGAATTTTGGCACGGTTGAGAGGAGAGCCCCGGGGAATGGGACGTGGGCGAAATTTTGTTATGAGATATTTATTCATTGAATACGTAGTGGAGGTGAGGTTTTGTTTGCAGTAGTAGTGGTGTAGGACTAGGCATTGCTGTGCATCACATTGTTATTACGTTTTAGGGTGGGTTTTTATTGTTTTGGAAAATTGTGGTTAATGCCAGAGTGTGGAATGCGCCTTTTTTCTGAGGTTCATGAGGGGACTTCGTCGTTTTTGGTGGATGCTTTGGAAGGGGTCCGGTGCCCGGCGTGGTGGACAGTTTGCCGATTAAGTCATATATTGCGAGATTTTTGGTGCATTGATCGGTGAGGGCCGGTATATTTCAGGGTTGGAGTGGGATGGGCTGAGCCGGATTTTTCGCAGACTTTGCAAGCATGTAAGTGGATACCTTGGAGAACTGGCGGAGGTAGCTTACCGTGTTTGGTCTTTTATTTTTGGGAGTTTTTGGTTCTTCCCTTTTTGCGTTTTTGTGTTATGTTGGATGTTTTTGTCAATGGATGTTATTTGTAATTTTTCGTTCTCTTCAAAATAGTTTTTACAGTGCGACATGGAGTTATGAACAATGTTCCGGTTTTTCATTTATCCAGTTATTTGATAGTTCTCTATATTTATTCATTTATTTGATCGGTTCTGGTGTAGTTGTGTGCTTTCTGGCCGCCAGTTTTTCCGCGTTTTTGTGGTGCTAATCTATATCAGTGTGGTTCATTTGTTCTGAACGGAGGTATTTGTTGTGAGTTGCAGGGTGCAGGTTGGCTCACCTTTTTTACGCAATGAAATCTTATTTTGCCGTTTTTGTTCCTTTATTCCCCCCTTTAGTAGGTGTGCTTGACAGTGTTGTAAGGGATGGAAGCCTTTTCACTTGCAATATAATGCATGGGTTTTTGGAGCGTACTTTTGACGAGGGATGAAGTTCACATTTGTTTTTTTCTTTTGTTTGAATTGCAGCTGCTGTCAGATGCAAATGAGTTATTCAGGAAAGAAATGAAGACCATCATTTATCCCTCCTTTTCGAAATGCGAGATTGTGATACCTTAAGTCATGGCGTAAATTTCTCTAAAAAATCAGTGCGATCGCCGTCGAGACCATCGAAATCCCCTTTACCTGAACAAATAGTTTGGGATTCTTTATTTCCTTGTCGGATGTATCCGATGGCGACATGAACGACTCCTTGGGTGTGTGTATCACTCATTGAGTTTTAAACTTCCCTGTCAATGGAAAGTGAATCTCACACTTGGATGTGTAGTTCCGTGCCCCGCTAATATTCAAAGATCGTCGATCGTACATTTCCTACCCCCCTAAGTGACGGGAGTTTTAACCAACGAATATAAATTCCAGTCTAGTCTGACCTCTTTGAATCTGGGAAATTCGGGGCAGATTATATCTGGAGAATGCTGAGTGATCAAATGCAGGGGAGATTTAAAAGATCCTTTTTGTACTATTACAATGACGTTCCTGCAAATGACGACTTAAGGTGTATGATCACAAGCATGCGAACCCCAAGATCACTATTTTAATAGTCGAATTGAAGCTCCATAGCGATTGAAGCCGACAGCAAGTTAACATACGAAAATATTGTTGATTGCGTGTGGTTCAATACCGAAGTAGAGCAGATTTTCAAAATGTTTGGCTACCCTAACTGATGGTTTAAATCTGGAAACTCTCGACACCGAGATTTTGGAGCGTTCCTACCGTGTCGTAGATTAATTTAAAGATGGAGCAAAATAATCATCTGTATCTGTGGACAGAATATCAAACAGCTGATGCGTTGCATCCATCGTAGAGAAACCAAACGCCTCAATGAACACCTACATAAACCGACCCTCATTCTGCCAATTGAACGTTGAACTGTTACTGTCGTGTATGGAGTTGTCAAATGATACTTGTGATGCACTCCGAATGTCGCGATTCGAGTTCACTTCCCGTGAGAATTCTCGACCCAAACGCAAGAGAATAATCGTCTTCCAAGCTGACATCTATGTAAAATCCAACCTCTTTGATTGAACCTCTGATTCAACTTGAAGAGTGTCCGCGTGGCGAGAATCGACCCTATGGAATATGTCAATGTTCTGCAACGTGCTAATTTTTGTCTTCAGTTTATCAAGTTCGAATGTACCTTTCCTTACGGTGTCTACACAGTAGACTGCCAAACATATGTGTCCTTTACAATCTGAATTGATAATGTGGTACTGTAGTAATTTAGATATGATGCTAAACTCATTATTGTACTGTGGGGTACAGAAATAATTCGAATTTTTTTTCAAAGTGAATCAGTGTTAGAAATCACTGAACTTCAAAAAGCTCCAGCAGTGTAAAAAATGAACGCATTTTTGAGCCGTAAAATGCATTGCGAAGATAGTAGAATCTAGTTTCATGGTGTAACAAGTTTGCATTATAAAGTTGTGAAAATATACATCAAGAGAGCTTTTTGTTACATACTATCTACCATCTCGTACTACCACCCCCAGCTGCAATCACCGCTTGCATCCTATAAGGCATAGTGGAAATCAATGTACGAAGCCACTCTATAGATATGGTATCCCATACGGATTGAATTTTTTCTATCATTTCTAGCTTACTATTAGGTCTACTATGATGTTTGAGCAAATCTTTTACTACCATCCAAACGTTCTCTATTGGATTCAAGTCCGGTGAATTGGCAGGCCAAAACAACTTTTCTATACCATGAGCACGTCATTGCAGTGGCAATGAGCTACGGTGGACTGGAGCGCAATCCTCCATCAATATCAATTGCTCAGGGTCATCATGTAAGAAATAAAAGCCACTTAATACTCCTTCATAAACAATAGTGACAAAATCCCTTGCTGATCTCTTATCTAAAGGAATGATGACCAATGGAGACTTATCAAAGCTAGTAAAGGCACCCCAAACCATCACTGAACTACGTCCAGACTTAAAACTTGGTGCTATATAATCCCAATTATATTTTTCGTACGCCTTCCGCTATACTCTAATTTGCCGTGGATTTTTGCTAGTTTTGAATGATGACTCATCCATCCAAATAATATTACACCAATCTTCAAACGTCCAACTCTCATAAGCACGTGCAAATGCAAGCCTATCTGCTTTATGTTTGACATTCAAATAGGGCTTTTTAGGTGCTATACAATTTCTAAAACCAAGCTCACGGAGGTAGAATCGAACAGTAGTTCGGGAAACACTCACCAAGTTTGCAAGTTCTACCAGAGTATGCCTTCTATTTGAACTGACAGCATGACATAACACCCGAAAATCCCGCTCAGACAACTTCTTGGGTCTGCCACATTGTGATTTCAAGGACTCCACACTTCCATGGACCTTCCAATGACTCAAGATAGTTGAAATGGTGGAACAGGGAGCACTGAAGACTTCTGTAATGTCCTTACACTTCATCCCAGCCTTCCTCATCCCCACAATCTGATTCTTCTGCCTAGGGGACAATGTTCTGTACTTCATGGTGCTTGCTGTAAGCCTTCAAATAACACAAACCAACTTCTAGTTTGACGGAGAGGAGTCACTGAAGCTAACGATGTCCAAAACCAAAAAAGAACACTTCTAAAATCTGTATGTACTTCACAATCTCAATCTGTCGCAGTGCAATGTGCTTCACATCTTCAGATGGATTATATAAGTCACCCCATCCAAGCATTCTATGCTATCACTCCATTTTGCTGGCTGCACGCATGCCTAATTGCAACTGTGATTTTTTAGCTCACTTAACCACTTCCACATTAATCATCACATTTGCAATCTGCTTTTGAAGACACATGGCTAATTACATGCAATTAGACACCTCTTGCACTCCAAAAATAGATGGCCAAGTGTCGGGAAAAAATTCCTTCCAACAGGATCACAACATTCAATTGAACAACAAGATTTTTTTAGCAAAAGTGGTGCTCTAGAAAAAAATTCGAATTATTTCTGTACCCCACTGTACATCGCCACCATTTCAAATCTCACACCTTGTGAGATGAGAGAAAGAGGCTACGGCTCAGGTATCTGGAATTTGAGACAGCATTTTCACATTTTATCAATTAGTGTTTTTTCTCAAATTTACGTGAGTATGTCTGAAGAAGGGAACAATGTGTCATGTGACCTTAAAATCTAAATCTGTTCCTCTCCTGAACAATTGTGATAGTTCTAACAGATTTATTTATTTATTTATTTATTTTTTATTTTTTTATATTGGAAAAAATTCTTTTAATACGTTGATTTCAATTATCTATGAAATTGTTGTTTTCTTTGTAAATCGGAGCTATTATCCTCCTATGAAATAAAAATTATAAAACTCCGAAAAGCTTGCAATATTTTGTGAACATTCCAATGATACTAATGGATTGTAATTATTCTTATGTGATACTATAAAGAATTGTAAAAATGATAATGTCTTTATTTCTATAAAATAAAATTCGGAGTTATAAATAAACCAAGTGCTCCTCCATTTTGTATAATCAGGTTTGTTTTTAAAACACCTTGACATGGTAAAGAAACCACATAGTGTTTTAAATATCCGGATGACAATATTAACATTTATGCCACATATCATTTCTTAATTAGTAGTATTATTTGTTGTAACCTAGGAATGTGGTTGTACATACATGTAAACGATTATATTCATGTCTACTTTGATATTTCAATAATTAGAATAAATTATGAATATAAAATAATTAGTGATGATATTGGAATGGCATAAAATTTAAAAAATAATGGTTCAAAATTCTATGGTATATGTTAATAACTACTAAATATTTTGTTGTAATAGTGCATTCAACTTCTATCACCAAAGTAGAAACAAATTTTACATCATAGCCAATTGTACTTATAAGTAGACATTAGAATTATTTTTGCATTGTTGATAATAATCCTTTATTTATTCATTTATCTTTTGTAGTATATTCTATGAGTGGTGTTAGATACTATCTATTGCTTAATAAAAATTACAACAAGTAATTCTATTTCTTTACTTGATATACTTGCATATTATACATGTATTTTACAATTGTGAAAAAATAGAAGAAAAGAAAAAGAAGAAACTTGAATTAAGTTGGATTGGTGTGTCAATATATGGTAGATGAAATAGAATGTAATTTCTTTTGTCATCTTTTTAAATGTACCTATACTAATATATACTTGGTAATATTCTTATCTTATTCAATAATTAATTTGCTTGTAGTGACATTTAGTTTTAGTATATTTGGAATTAGTATATAAAATTATATATTTTAAACATATTCAATCCATAAATTCCTTTGAACTTCTATAATATTATGGTCATTAAAGTAGATCAAAATTGAATAATAACTAGTCAACTTATTTGCGTACAAATCAGATATTGAGTTTATTTTATTTCCTATAATAAATTCATCAATAAATTAGATTTTTTGGTTATAAACTAAATCTTTATTTGATATATCAATTATTCAGTAATAATTTTAAAAAAAATCTTGTCATTTTATTAAGACATATGATTTAAAATTTCATTACATGCAAATTTGGATTTAGAAATTCTATTAAAACCTTGTTATTAACGTTTGCCAAAAAATAAAGTTTTTGGTTTTTATCCAAGATCAACAAGATGTATAAAAAAAATGATTTAATAATTAAAAAAATCTACAATCCATAAATTGATTACTATTTTTTGTAATACTATCTATATATATTTAAAAAATTAAATAAATTAAAATAACTAAAAATAAAAATTTCAAATAAAAGTCTCAACTTTCTATATCTTATATTCTTTTTATAAATTATTTTATTAATATCTTTATTATATATTTTTATTTATTTAAGATTATATATTAAAATCATATGCAAATTTGGTTTTTTTAATATACACGTAATAATCATTGAATCCTCATATAATTCTACTATTTATTATAAATATCTTCCAAAAAAATAAAAAAAATAAAATTTATTATTAAAATATATTTTATTATTATAAATATAAATACTAAAAGTTGTTTCATGATTAAATTTATAAAATAAATATTGAGAATATTTTGATGGTTATTTTGTAGTTTATTTACAGAATTAGGTACAACTCAAGTAATAAGTAATTGGCTATTGAAAATTTGTAGCCAACTTTGAGCATAATTAATAGCTTCAATGGTTAGTTATAATTACTTTTGTAATTTTTTACATATTTTTATTAATTTTAATGCTAATATGATTAATTTATAGATCTAAATTAGTCTTTTAGTTAATTATAACTTAAATTATAGTTTTAGATTATTATTTAGGTAAATACTTTTAATTATTAGATTGAGTTGTTGTTAAAAATTCTAAAACAATAAGTTTAGAAGGTCTATGATTTCTTTTTCTTGATTTGGTTCAAATCCTCTTTTAATACTAAAATTAGAATTTTAATAGAATTTTTCTTCTAAGTCCTAAAAATTATATCTGAAATTAATCCACAATCTTAGTTTTCAACCCCAAGGCTAATTCCTAATTCGACTATGGTTAGAAAATCCCTTCAGTCTAATTGCTCTATCTTTCTATTTAATTTTTAAGAGTTTTTTTAAGGTTAAATTTCATGCCACAATTTAAATGGATTAAAAATATAAAGTTTAATTGTTAAAATAATGATGATTTCTAGAAGATGGAGGTGAGCTAATTGTTGTGGTGGAATTCCTCTCTTAGTGATTTTAATCACTATTTGGAGTTGAAAATTGGAGAAAAAGAAAAAGA